GAGGGTGGATTGGGTTGGTGGTGGGTCAGGGCTGTGCAGATTTGCTGGGGAACATAAGGGGGGAAATGGCAGGTCTATTATGTGAAATAAGAGGGGTTTTTGGCTGGTATTTTCAGCCCTCATATGGGAGGAATGAAGTGAATTAACTGGTTGTGGTTTGGCAAGGAATTTTGGCCAGGAGTGTATTAATTCAATGAAGGGACAATGTGGGGTTCATAGGGTGTGGTAGTGTTGTCCAAAGAAAGTAAGAGGCTGGGTTGTTTGGATTTTTGGGGTTTGATTTTTTGTGCAGGGGGGTTTTCAGCCTTTATGGGGTGGAGATATCCAAAAAGATTATGGCTAGGTTTTGAGGTTTGTTGATGAATTCTTTCCAAAAAGGATCATAATACCTAGTCATTATTCCATTGATTTGTTTAAGGACTTTGGGATCATTGGTAGTACCCGGGGATATATCAGTGAGAGTTTGGATTTTTCATTAAAAATCCATACCTTACCATTAATATTCAAACGGTGCAGTATAGTTCGTTCTTACGACTAAATCTATTCCATACCATGGCACTTGAAATGGTACGCTACCATAGTGTTTTAGAACTTAAAAAAATTATTATAAAAAAACTAATCAATGAAAGTAAAAATATTTGACGCACCAAATCCCCCAATATGTTTTTATATCCTTACTCAACAAACGTATTGTTTAATACGAGTAATAATTTTTGACAAATCATAATTTAAAAGTAATTTGAAAGACCGTGATTATGTAAGTTAAAGTAACACCAAAGAAACAAAAACTGAAAATATTGAAAATTAACAAACGTAAAAGTATAATTAGTTGATTATTTTATCATTTTAATAGTAATGGTCCGGTTCGTGATTTTCGGTTCTCATTTTTTGAGAATCCATCCCGTACCATTCTAAAATTGGAACAAACATATCATGGTAAGCATCTAACTCACCTCGACAGAAAGGGTCTTCTTTTCGTAATTGACTATGATTTTTCCACTAATCCCCTTCTTTCCTAGGTGGCCATTAAACCTAGCAAAGTGAAATAGGAAAATTATGTTGATAACATATCTTATGTGAAACTGCATCACATGCTAGTTGTTAAATACAGAAAAACTATGCTGTATAGATGGACAATAGAAGGGTAAAAGGAATACTGCCAAGTCAGCTGACGCTTCAGGAGACTTGCATTTCTTTGAAACTTACTCCATCTCAGATCTAGTGCCTTACGGCATGCCTAACACCAGAGCAAGAACATATAAAAGAAAACTGATGTAAATTGCCATATGATAGCAATGCATTTCAAGAATAAATAGCTCCCCAGTTCCCCTTCCCATTTCTTTGCATGCTCATGAATCTTTAAAATAGCTACATATGCATGCAACAATGGCTCAGACCAATAAATTGCTCAGACTAGCAATTTTTTATGGAAATTATAAAAATATCAGAATACTTTCTGATTACACAGCACACAATCCAATCCATAATGATAAACAAAACACGTTGAGGTCGATCATTTCATTAAAGATTCAATTCAAGCTAGAGTACATTTTTATGCATGTGCAGAGCAAACAACAAGCTGTTCATTTACAAACCAAGAGAAAACTCTGATGAAGAGAATGCATGTTGGGCATGTGGGACATGCATGCCCCAGCTTGAGGGATGATGGAAAATAATGTGATGTGTGATACCGTGAAGTGATTAACTGAAATCAAATTCCAGCTAGGGAATCTGGAAACTTTGAGGAACATGTGTTTGATTCTATGGCTAATTTGTGGACATAGGATAACCTTCTTATTTTCTTAATTAAAAGCTATTCTTTGTACATGTAAAATATCAGTTGAAAATGAATTTTTGCACTGCAAATAACCAAACTACATATAATCAAAACTAAAAGAGCAGAAAATAAGGCCATACAGGTATTCCTCACCTAGGCACGTGCCGAAATTAATAAGAAAGTTAAAGCAACATGGAGACTTACAGAAAGCTTCTCGCGAAATGCTTTATAAGTTTGCTGCCTTTTAAATATCATACGCTCCTTATTTTCATGCAAGGTCCGTAGATCATCAATAGATTCTGAGTGTCTGTACGAAAGCAATAAGAATAAAATAGTATCTGCATTTTATTAAGTAATTAAATGAACACTTTTAGAAGAAAAAATAGACCTTCGACTCTCTTGTTGCAGTCTATTGCTCAGCCTTGTTAGTTGTGCACTGAGTTGCTCTGGCGTATTTCCTTTGCAGCTTCCTAGAGTTTCAATATCTGTCTCGGAACATATGATAGAAGCTTTTTTGTAGCTTTCCTGTAATTTAGTAAATCGGTTTTAAGGGCTTAAGAGGTAAGTAATGCAATGCAACTCTCCAGAGTTGTCTTAGTGACAGAATTATCTGACATCCAAGGTCATATCTAAGTTCATAAGATGTGTAGAGAGAAAATTATTTGGATACAATAAACATATGTACAACTATTTTAACTTCAAGGACCGTAGCAGGTCCCTTCTCACAATCTGAGTTGTCTAGGGGTCAAGTCTAAAAACATACGATGAATATAGTCTTAGATATAACCAGATTACCGGTTGGAAAAAATTTTCCAACTCCCAATCCCGAATCAAGATTTTATCACAACCCCAACTTAGCCGGGACGGAATCAAGATTCATTTTTAATATAAGTACGGATCCAGACTGAAATAAGAAAAAAATCCTCATAATTTTGATATTTCGTTGCAGTGAAAATTGACAAACTTTGACTGTTGCACCCAAAATTGACAAACATTGACCATTATTTATATAAAATTGGTATTTGATATTGATACAAAAATAATTTTATTAGATTTATCTTGTAAAATATATAAATAATACTCCCTCCGTCCCCCATAGATCTTCCCATTTGCCCTTTTTATTTGTCCCACATAGATCTTCTCATTACCTTTTTCAATAATTAAAATACCACAACTATCCCCACTTACTTTATTTATTACACCTTTTCCACTTTATTTAATACACCCCACCCATTTTCATTAAGGGTATTTTGGTAAACTTTCACCTTTTTTCAACTCTCCTAAAAAACCGTGAAAAATCAAATTGAGAACATCTTACATGGACGGAGGGAGTATTATTTTATGGGATTAATATACCATATAATTTTTATTTGATTATAGATCAACGGAATTGACTCAATTTATGCATTGCAAATATACAAAATAGCTGTGTTACAATTTTATAAAACAAAAAAATGATTTTTATTTTTATTAACAATTTCACATTTAGTACAGTAAAATTATTGTTTATTTGTTTTTGGTTACTTTTCAATTTTCGTTTAAGCATTTAAGGCCTAAAACGCCAATTCAAACATGTAAGGGGTATATATGCACCATAGGGTGAATTTGCACCTAAAAAATCTAGGGTTTATCACTTTATCCGTGAGCTATAAACATTAAAGGTGTGTTTGTGCCTTTTCCCAAAAACATACCTTACGGCTATGCTCAAGTTCCTGATATTCTTTCTCCACTTCCTTGAGCTCGGTTAAGACTTTCACTTGCATGAGGTTTTCATAATGGTTGTACTTCGAAATAACAAATTGTGGATTGCAATCAACAAGGGAATTCCAATTGAGAAAATCAGATGGAAAGAAAACTTCAAAAAGAAAAGAGGTATGCATGTAGGGATAAGCTTGACCATTTTAGCATCATCTAGATACTTATCTATCTTCATCAACTCCCCTTCTGCATTTTCCAAGGCATCAATGTCCACTTTTGCAGACTCTGCATTATTAACATTGCCGCATTTGGTGTATGTTGTGATATAGCCAAATTAATAATTTGAGAGAGCCAAAAATTGTGGCATACCACAAATATGTTCAAGCAACATCTTAAAATGATTTCTTTTGGTTTCTGCTTCATTTACTCTCAGTTGGATTTGTTCCAGTAACTTTCTCTCTTCTTGAATCTCATCAACGATTTTCTGGATATTTGTTTTAAAAAATATTAAATCTGAATAGTGAATACTACTTCCTACGCAACAAACAAAAAATGAAAATGAAATTAAAACAAGTCAATAACTAGAGGAAATGTTGAGTTTATAGTTTTGGATAAGAATGTATTGAAGTAAACACCGATTCTTGTTGAAGAAGTTCATCACTCGATGTATTGGTTGTGCTAGTTACTGCAAAATTTGACTTCTTAGCATCTTGCAAACGGAAATCCTTAGACTGCAAGTCTCGCTCAGCATCAATACGCCTTCTCTATATAAATCAAACAAGAAAATAGTTACAACAGTATATCACTCATTAAAAATAGAAGTACTCATGGATCAGTTCTATCCATCTTTTTAAAGTAGGAAACTTATCTGTCACTAGTCGTACACTGGTACCTCAGAAGTACCACGAGTCTTAAAACAATATGAAACATTTTTGAATAGCCAAACTATATATCCATGTAAAGTATGTATGTATGTATGTGTGTGTGTGTGTTGAAATAGCTTTTTTCACCTTATTATTGCATGAAAAATGTTCGTTGAATTAAACTAAACTGCTGCCGCCTGTACATCTTACTCCTTACTTGTTGCACTACACATACAAACTTGTAGAACACTGAAATCTAAACCTGCAGGCCCATCAATGTCAGCAGCCACGTCAGCTTTTAGAGCATAAGTGCAAGGGTCGTGGCATGTCATGAAATCAACCCTCCATAATTTTTAACCAAAACCTCAAGCCTGTTACTGGCTAGCTTCTGCACATCTTCCATGTGCACCAACTCTCCTTTATGCCCTGAATTCTCCCACAACTTTTTTGTCTCACAAGTTTCTTCAGCCACCACCACTTTCAGCTGAACCCCAAGCGATGCAAAGACACTTTAGCCCCTCCAATCCCGTTGTAGATAGACAGGATTCACAATCCCTCTGGATACACTGATTTCAAGGTGGACAGATGATATGCCAGTGTGTCCGTCTGAAAGCAGTTTTTCAAGAGCTGGAGCCTGTCTGCCAGTGTGGAACCAGCAGTTGGGTATGCTTTATTGGATATCTTTGCCCCCAAGCAGTTTGGGTATGCTTTGTTGGATATCTTTGGCATCTTCTCTTTCAAAAGATCCAGCAAGAATAATTTGGGACGGAGGAAGTAAATAAATAAATAAATAAATAAATAAATAAGAGCATGGAAAAGATGCTATAGAGTAGAAAGTGGAAAAACAAACAAAACTTTATTCCATCTTGTCAATGCAAGGTATGTTATCTACCTTGAACTTGTCACGGTCGTTTCCTGAGTGCAAAAATTCCCTGCTTTTGTCTTGACTCAATATCACACAGGGATTTTCAACATCAATCTACAGAAGAAGAAAAACAAATCCGCTTACGTGCAGTAACTAAGAATATGGCACAAATGATGCATGCAACATTATAAGATTATGCGAAGGATAAAAAAGCAATAAAGTAGATTATTGGGGAGAGTGATAATGATACCATTGATTGATCTGCTCAAATATGGTTGATTGCTTTTAAATTAAATTGATTAAATATTTTTATTAGCTTTTCTTTAGGAAGTAATTTGCCAGGATTTCTTCACTTCCTTCTTTAGATACTTTTATGCATATAATCCCTATTATAAAAGGGAGCTTTACTCTGCAAATAAAACATCCAAGAAAAAATTGAGAAGAAATTATGAAGGAAAACTCCCTAAAATTTCTTTGCCCCTTCAGTATATCATTTTTGTTAATTCGCATGATGTGGAGAAACATGGTACACAACAAGGAATTTACAACTTAATAGTAACATTCTCACATTAAAGTGTTCCACTAATTCAAAGAGATCCTCTCTTCGAGATGCAACCTTTTTACCTGAAGAATCACAATGAAAGAAGAAACAGAGAAAAAACGAATATAGAAATGAGCATCCAGTGTAAAGACATTGGGCCTTTCTAGTAGTGTATGTTACCTTTATAAAAATGCTCATATATAGGTGGCTAGTTGCACTTTGGTACTTGAGCATCGTGATTGTGTGACTTTCGTAGTTTTGTCTCCAATTTCAATAGTGCCAATTTGTTTCCTAATGGTCCACCCGTTTACAATCGAGCTGCCCCAACAATTCATTATTTCATTTATATTTTAATGGAGGTATCATGTATGGCACTGACTTTGATCCCAATTGAATGTGAGGTCAGGTAGGCTCTATATCTTCTCAAACATATCACCACACATGAGAATTAAAACAGTTGTCCATTCCCACTCTTAGTTCTGATCATTAGAATCGTGAGAAATTTCAGAATGAACCAGAGCACGCATGGCTTCTAGCTTTTGGTATTGAATTGGGATTAAACTGTAAATGGGTGGAAACATTATAGGAAACCCATTAGCACCATAAAAATGTAGGGAGAAAAATTACACAATTGTGATGCTTGAGGGATGAAATATGCAATTAAGCCTGTTGTTAAATAATATAACCGAGCTAAGCTTTGTTCGAATCTAATTAGGGTCAAATTATAAAGTTTTATGAAGTAACATAACAAGAAACCATGGTCATTCTTTAAAATGATAGAACTAGCAGATTCTGATATCCTCCACTCGACTATTATGGCCCTGCCATAAGTTTCAGGCTTGAATGAATCCTCCCCGTGGTTCTTTATCTCAACGTGTATAAGCGCATAACTGCAAATGTTTTCAAGGGATTAAACACCTTATAGTTAAAAGAACACCACAAGCTAAACAATATGAAATGTAAAGCTGCTTTGGCACTACCAAACTTCTTTGAATAAATGTATTGAGACAAGCTATTTTTACGAAAAAACATGTTCATATGCTCTTTTTTGGCAAAATGCATAGAAAGCTTATTTGGGTAAATAGGTAATGGCTTTAGATAATTCAAACTTTTTAAATTAGTCAGATAAGTCCCCTCAAAGATTTGGAATTTTGCAATTGAACCATCAAACTTAACGCACATGCAATTTCTACCTCAGAACTTTCAAAAAGTGTAATCCCTCCATTTCACTGATTACCACTGGTAAATTAGCACATGGCCTCTAAAATTAAGTGCACGTCATTTTTTTGCTGATGTGCTCTTTTAATGCTGATTGTAACGATGGCTAAGAAAGTTTCATGTAAAAACTGAAAGAGAAGATTTGTAATTGAATGAATAAGATGGAAAATGATGTTCAGAGCACCATCAGTGCCTGGTTTTGGTAGATTTCAGAGGTAAACAGACAAAGTACTGGAACTACTGGACTTCAGGTAGATTTCAATGGCAAAGTAGAGAACAAGACCAAGTTTTGGTATTTCAAACCTGAATGGGACAATCATCTTAATAAAGGTTATCAAATTCAGATTCAAACTGTGAACGGTGAATCAAAAAACCTCTTTCTCACAATAAGAATTGTATCTTATTGTGAGACATAAGTCATTACTCATGAGATACATGATCAAATGAAAATACGTAGTAGAAAAAAATTAACTAAAAACAAGTGGCATAAGCAACCAAGCATAAGTAGTTGATATATCGAATACTTCTTCCGTCCCACTATTTTTGTCTTCTTTGCCTGTTTTTTTGTCCAACTGTTTATTCCAATACCATATCTAGTTATATTTGTGTGGTCCACATTCATTCTTACATTTTCATACTTTATATCATCAATATCAACCACACGGTTCAAATTTTATTAATTTGCGTGACACTGACCCATGTACCAAAAACAGTGGGGCGGATGGAGTATGACATTTCAACTGTTCTCATATATAAATTCAAATAAATTCATAGACATTCCAAAAAATAAACTTTAGTAGCGAGACAGGTATGATTGCACTGGACAGTGGAGACATTCCCTAACAAAACTTATGTGACGATATAGGTGTAATTAGAAATTGTACAATACACTGTACATTGAAATCATTGACCCATTATGAATTGATGTATTAATACTAGCATGTCTTGTGGCCATGCCACAATCCCACATACCCAATTCAATTAGAGATTTAGAGGACAATAATTTTAATAGAGGGGTTGCACAGTTATGCACTTTATGCACCCATGACCCATTACCATTATGGTACAAGCTAAGAGCTCACAACTTTGAATTGGATATGAACTAGGATGTTGTGATATCTTATTGCTTTATCAATTTAGTAGTCGTTCGTAACTCGTTGGTAGTTTTTTATATCTGATGTCTCACCATTGGTGCTAGTCATTTTATCCATTGCCAATGGAATTAAAAGTCATTTTAGATAATGTTTTAGCTTCAAATAAATAATGGACTCAACGAAATGGCATAATAGACTTCTCTTGCATCTTACTTCCATCAAAGTTTTGGGCAGCAAAAGCATCAAGGAACTAACAAAAAATATCTGTTTTTACGAAGGTAAGGATATGTACATCTTGGCCCCCCCCCCCCCCCCAACCCCACCCTACGAATTGCCAACCAACATACATTCTTTCTTTAAACGGCATAGCCCGTAACGTTTTCTGGTCAATTACATTTGCTTCGGTTGTTGCTATCATGGATAACTCCATTCCACGTACTCAAAATTTCCGAGCCTTGATGCTCCCGGTCAAGGAGCTTGTCAAGTCAGGCAAGGTGCTCAAGCACAATTGCAATTTCCCAACCAACTGAGACACAAAATTATATTTCCATTTTGATATCTGTCACAAAGACCTAAAACAAACAGGGGAGTTCTCTTGGAGTTCTCTTGCAGACCATATACCATCTTCGAAGTTTGATCACCTTCAAGACTCACAACCCCATAGTGCAAACACGAGTACAATCTACCACTTCAAGGGGGGAGATGTTCTTCCGCCACTCCCAACAAAAAAAAAAGAGATTCCAATGGCATTGCAGAAGATGGAAAAAGTTTGAGCGAAAATTGTTCCATTGCAATTCCCCGACAAAAAAGGCTTTTAATGGTTGATATTTATAGTTTATACAAATACAAAGAACAAGCACATGAGTCTATTAGCATAGAGGAAACCAATTCTCCAAGTAATGTTGACGTAGTGAAAAATAACCAAGCAGGTGAGAATGCAAAGGTGAAGGACATGGCAAAGTAAGAATTAGATTTTAATTTTCTTCCACACAAAATATTTTTTCAAGCAAATACTCGAAGTTGTTCCTAAGAATGATATGAAGTGGAATCAAACCATAGTAATTCTATGTTCCAAATGCATTCCACGTGCAGTTATGGGAGTTCTTCCATTGGGCTAGCCATTAGCCATATGTCACTTTTGGTGTATGACTGCAAAGACCAGTGTTTGAAATTGTGTTCAGATGCTTGTGAATAAGGTACCCTCACGGAATTTTGGAGAAAAAGAAAATAGCAATGAGGTTCGACCACAAAAAATAGTGTAAAATACAAACTAAAGATCTGGCCGACACACGACAACCACTAGACCTTAACACAAACAGCAGCTGCAAACAAAGTTTGAGACAAGCAATGTGACTAGCTTAGTGAAGAGTACAAAGAAACATAATGAGGCCAAATTTCAACACTGTGAATAGCACCTAAAACTTTAACTCGCACATAGTCACATTACACCGGCACTCATAATGTCCAAATTGAGTCCACAAACTCAAATAGGCTACACAAACTCATTGGCAGAGACAAAGCAAAATTCTAGTTATTAAAGATGTCTCGCACGCAAGGGATACTGGGATCGGAGTTCCAGGAATAGTGAAATAGGATGAACAAATGGTGTCAGCGTGCGTGATTCATGTGCTATTCTAATGGCCCTGAAACTTTCCAGGACCAATAATCGATGCCACAAACCATAATCTATTACCAGGCCACAATAGAGCGAAGAAAAAGGCATGGATTAAATCTAAGGCCTACATGTATCAAGTTGCTTTGATACCATGTTATGATATATTTAAGAGAATAAATTAATAAATTATTGAGAAAACCACAGTGCACCAGTGCACACACACAGATAGAGGACACACACAGACACTATATATATATATATATATATATATATATATATATATATAACAAAACTAATATGTGCTTGAGATGCAAAAAATATACTTCTCATAACAATATACAATCTTGTTTCCTTCTCTTACACTCCATTACCACTCGCATATTAACGGCTATGGATTACTAGGCTTATTTTACTCAAAAGTGTAATATAATTCACCATTTATAAATAAATGCTCCCTCTGTCCCAAAAAAATGGCTTCACAATTCTTTTTATGTTTGTCAAAAAAAAGGTTTCACAATTCTTTTTTTGTTTGTCCCAAAAAAATGTTTCTTTCCTTTTCACAAAGTTCCTCTTTGTCACAATTTCCCTCTTCTCTGCACAAAACTCAGTCACGCACTTTCACCCTTATTAATAACCATGCCAGTCAATTGATGAACCTTATTTCGGGACAGAAGGAGTACACGTTGAAAGAAAAGAAAAACTTCTTACTCCACAATATAATAAAGGCAACTGGCACATCACTCAGTCACCACCATAATCTAGAGAAATCTTAGCTTAAAGACTCGAGTAGAGTCTGTCATATATCCAACCTATCCGAACCTTATGTCACAACTAGATCGAGCCTTGAACCCTTCAATTGAGAGATGATTGCCAACAGAAATGCAATTGCTTCTTGAAAATTTTAAAATAGGTTGTCTCCCCCCCCCCCCCCCGAACAAAACGATTGAGAATTGTTTTCATATAATTCATCAAAGATACTCATTATAATACTAATAGAGGGAACATGACACAAATCAACCTGCATCCTGTCTTAGTGAAGTCCATTGTGTTTGCCCTTTGAGTGCCTCTTGCACGGCTCCCAAATGCCAAGCATAAAGCGTTCAGTATTGCACTTGTACCACCTAAGCAATCATATATATATAAGTAACAAGAAAAGAAAGTGGTATTCCTGGGATGAATTGAAAACAGAACAAATACTAGACAACAAGAGATTTACTGCAGAGCAATTTCTTAAGAAATAATGAATAGTTTGGTGATATGAATTGAAAACCGAATTGTCAGTGTAATAAACAACCATAAAGGCCTCGGCCATGGATCAAATTTCAAACTAGTGAATATATAGGGCAGTTTCCCTACATTGAACACAGGACGAAAAGCTGGTTCAACAATGGAGACAGCCCCCTCAAAAACAATAATTAGAAGTAAATGTTGGCCGGGTGAAATTGAGCTTTCGCAGATGTCAAAATTTCAAGCAAGAACCCTTTGGATCGGCCGTAAGATATCGAGAAAAGCTTTGCTGTAAAACCTCTCTACGCGGCGAGAGAGAAGGAATGCGATCTCTGCCGTAGTTGAAGAGAGGTGACTAAGAAGAGTTTTGATGTCTGCCGGCAATGGAACACGAGCACCATGGCCGTTGAAGACGACGGAGGTTGCTCGGCTCTCTCAAAGGCAATGTTGTTTCATTTTAAACCTAGTGTGCGTTTTTAAAAAGGGCAATATGGGCCTATGTATATCCATTTGAAGCTGCGCAGTTTTAAAGTTACTGTCTACATTTTTCCTCAGGCCCCAACATAAGGTTTGTTTGGATATGAAAGAGAAATAGCGAACAATTTATTTGACTTTCCAATATTTCCAATGCAACATTTATGACTTGTTCTTTTCACTTTATTTGAATGATTCAAATCTGAATGCAGTTATATTTAAAATTGTTTCTGATCTAGTCTCATATGACTTGAACTGATTCCAATAAGAAAAAATAACAAATAATAAGAACATAAACTATATTAGTATGATATTCCAAACTTGTGTTCTAAAACAAGTGTTGATATTAATTTTATAGCGAAATACAATATATTTTTTTCCAACATCTTCCTATGTTTACAGCTCCTTCCCATTTTCTAGTTATTTTCGAGTTCTCTTCCAAATCTTTCTGATTTTTTTGAGGTATTATCATTGCATTTTCTTTAAATTCTCTCTAGCTTCCCTATACAATGACTATAAAGCTGATATATTCTAATGTGATTATTACTATAATAATAATAATAATTATTATTATTATTATTATTATTATTATTATTATTATTATTATTGTTGTTGTTGTTGTTGTCATTATTATTATTATTATTATTATTATTATTGTTATTATTATTATTATTATTGTTATTATTATTATTATTATTACTCCCTCCGTCCATTTTTTATGTTCGGACTTTGACCGGACACGCATATTAATGAATGCTAAAATTACTTTGACTTTCCACTTATACCCTTAAGCAATACCAGTCTCTAGTGTGGGCTCCATTCACCAATAATCATCGTCGACTCCCCCCTATTCTTCTCCGGCTCTCCCTGCCTCCAATCGTCGTCGAGTCGAGCACCACCGTAGTCCGCGTCTGACCTCCTTGGCTCCAATTGCTACCATGAAGCAAACTTGGGAATGATGAATATCTTCTTCATGTTCTTGTTGAAGACAACACAGTGGCGGAAGAGAAGACTCGAGCTTTGACGGTGGCAAAAGAAAGGCTCCGCTGCTAGTAGAGATGCATTTGATTACGGATTCGTTCAAATCGAAAACGGGCAATTGAAAATTGATTACAATCAATTGCCATTCCATGGCTAGATTTGTTTAAATTATCATGGATTATACCCATCCATCGAGTAGATGATGCGGAGGATGAGCAGATCTGTAAAATCAAAAAAGGTGGATGGAAAGATCTGAGCATTTACTGTGCGAAAATGAAACATATAATGACTATAAGAAGAAAATAGTGAAAAAAGAAGAAGAAGAAGAATGAAAGAAGAAAAAAAGAAAGGAAAAAGTGGGTCGGGGAAAGAAAAGAGAGGAAGATAGAAGAACGAGAATAAAGGAGAGAAGGAGAAGAAGAAAAAAAGAAAAAAATGAAGTAGGGATAAGGGTATTTGAGTCATTTTAATAAAGAAAAGTTTCCAAAAAAGGAAATAGAAACTTATTTGTGGACAGACCGAAAAGGAAAGTATGAAGATCAAAAATGGACGGAGGGAGTATTATTATTATTGCTATTATTATTACTATTATATTTTTTATTACTACCTCCGACCTAGAATATTTGTCCACTTTCATTTTTACACACCATCCAATACACTTCTTTAATCCATTTTATCTTGTAATTTGTATATTAAAAAATTATAGAAATTATATATTAGTAATCTATATGTTAAGACAAATCAAACAAGATCACACATGACTATATTTAGGCTTACACATTGAGAGAATTTGATGAGTCAAAGTGCTTAGATGATCAATTCCAAAAGTCAAAACTGGACGAATACTCCCAGACGGAGGGAGTATTATTATGATGACTATTATTATTATTACACAGTAGTTCTTTTGACCATGGGTATTTTGACTTTAAGATGACTTGGGGCACCTACAGTGTTCAGTTCGTAAAATTGATGGTTTTTACCCTATTGCACTATGAAGTGGTTCCTCTTAGAACCAACTCAAATTGGACATAAATCTATAGCATGCACTTGACATAAATCACACCCAAACGATACAATAAAGGAATAAATCAACGATACAAAAAGTACATAATTCTACATTACAACCACCGTGCATAGTACGTCCAACTTGCATTTTACATCCATAGTAACGTCTACTTCATTACATCAAACTTTCAATTCACAAGATTTTGGTACAACAACAATGCTACCAACAACACAATACAAATATGCAAAAACACTTCTCGTTTCTTGTATTTGCTGATTCTTGACTCTAATATTGCATTCTTGGACTGTACCTCTCTTTCACGAACGTTGGCATCTATTACTTCTCTTTGTAAGTTCATGATAAGGCCTTGAAACTCCCTGGAAGTCTCATTGCTACTCATGGTGGCAGTGTCCTTAGTCTCTTCACGTTTGTCATGTAGCCACTTAAAGAACGAACAATCGGATAACAATTAGGTCTTGAGGTTAGTGACTGCGCTTCAGAAGTAACCTCATAGCCCATTTTCTTCGCTCCACTTAAAGTGAACATCAAAATGTAAGAAAAAGAACAAGAATGAGAACAAATTAAAAAAACATACTTTAGACTTTTTTTTTTAGAACTCAAAAAAATGTAATCCAAGAACACTTGCTATTAACAATGTCCAAAAATGGAGATGACAATATTTGATACATATGGATGCACCCACTTTGGCTATAGAGTATAAACACCCAACACCAAACGAATGATTCTTGATTGTAATTAAATCACATTGGCTCCATACCATTTTGGACAGTATATACTACTACCCTAGCAAAAAAACTCTTGCAGCTCTAAATGCATTATTTACTGTAAATACATTTTTAGTTGCATCAAAATGGGATTTTTTTAGTTCTTGAAAGCGCACAACACATGAATTCAACATTGGGGTTTTCCGTCAAAAAAAATAAATAAATAAAAACAAATTAACTAAATGGAAATTAAAAAAAATTCAAACCAAGAACAAATTGAATATTGGATGGTTCCCTCAACATTCTAGATGAATTGAACCTTGAATCAGAAACAGAGAGGGTGTGGGGAAGTAACTAGGGTTAAACAAATTTGGGCCATCTCTAAGTAAAGTCAAAACGGAGGAGAGGGTGTGGGGAACTTACCTCGTCGGGAGAGATGCAAAGGCGCCGGAGATACGCAAAGCCGCCGTCGCCGGAGGGAGAGTCGAATCGGCGCAAGAGTTTCCAGAGACGAGAGAAGACGAGAGAAGCAGAGACAGATGGATGAGGCTCCGTTAATTTGTGGTGTAGTAAAGCTAAAATGTGATGATTTAATCTCATCCATTGATTTAAAAAATTAATACATCCAAGGGCTTAGATTTAATATGTCATACAATGACATTTAGACATAATGTCAATTGAACCCAGCCGAAGTAATTTAAATAAAATATGAAATTTATATAATACAATAATTATGTCAACATATTTGTTCTTAACTCTTTCTTGTTTCTTCTAAATCTTTTTAATTTTTTCTAACTCTTTCTAACATTTCTAATTATTTTTAATTTTTCCAAATCCTTCGAATTGCTCTAATTTCTCTCAGTTTCTTATATACTCCATAACATCTAGCTCTATTTTGAAAATAGCCTTAATAAAAACACAGAGGAATGAGAGGTTAAGAGCATCTCTAATAGAGATTTTAACAGTCGGAAGCTATACTTTATTTTTAGACTATTTACTGTGGTATAAAGGCTAAATTTTTACATGAGCTCCAACCATATCTTCTTTATTTGATTGGAGCACTTTATTAATAATATCAATGTTGATAAGTACATCACTTGGGGAGTACATCACTTGGTGATTAGTGAAAGGTAACCATGCAAGGATAGGCAGCGGAATATAAAAATTTTAACATCCTAACATGATTATCTTGCCCAGAATCACGTACTAAAACTTATAGTGAGTAAGAAATTTATACCTTTCTCCGTAAGCGGTAAAAACGAAGAAGTCGTAGGAAGAGCGTTGAAAGTGCAAACGTAACCGTTCAAGCGTCCGGTCTCCAACTTTGACACACGAACAACGCCGGAGTCTACCACAATCTTTATGCTAGTAAAGATTATAGTAGTATAAAATATAAAGATTAAAATTGGGATAATAATAATCTTGTATATTTCTATAGAAAATATTTCTAATAATATTTAGAAAATATTATAGATATTTTCCATACACAAAATGATATTAATAGAACACAAAAGATAAACTTTCTCTCTTTAAAATGTAATGGCCAAAAGTTTCTTCTCACACCTCAATTAAAAGTGTTTTCTCATTATATGGAGTGTTAAAGAGGATTTAAAACAATTATACACTTAATGACAAGTTAGGAAATTTCCTACATCTTTAAAATGCAAAGTCAAAAGTGTTTTTG